AGCGAATGGTTAACTTCCACTTAATATGGTATCTTGAATCTCACAATCTTTTCTCTCCTTCCCAGTTTATTTTCCGCCGTGTGCGAAGTACACCTGAACCCCTTGCTCATTTCAAGACATATATTTCATCTGCATTTGCATGCCATGAATTCGTATTAGCCACATTTTTTGGACTAGAAAAGCATACGATACTACGTGGCGGTACCATATTCTCCAACAATTGTCTCCTAGAAATCATGGGTGTCTTTATAAAGTCTTTCCTCGCCAAATGCACTTGCATGGTTAAAATTGCCTCTTCCACATCATCACCCTTTCCTCAATTCAATGGTGTCCCACAAGGCAGTGTGCTCAGCACTACTTTATTCCTTCTTGCTGTTAAAGATATTGTTAATGATACTTACCACCAAGAGCCTAATCTTTACTTTATATTGATGATTTAACCACCTTCGCCTCTCGCACAGTCATACCATTTCTATGCCAATTCCTTCAGTCTGCAATATCATTAGTATCTTCCCGGGGCCCCTAGCTATGGTTTTCGCTTTTCTAGCTCCAAATCTTTCTCCATCCTTTTCTCTTGCGCACGTGGAGGTCCCAAACTCCACACTTGTTATATAGCACTATAACCAATACCATTCCTCTGACAAATGACTCCTGATGAGAACATATCTTTTACATCATAGAGAAAGCTTGCCGCTTACAAACTCTTTCCCACATATCCTGGGGCTAGCTTGCAAAACTCTCCTCCCTCTTCATGTTACCTTGATCCTCTCCACATACGATTAGGGATGCCACATCTACTCTTCTGCCTCAACCTCCCTCCTTGCTCATCTTGATACAATCCACCACTGCGGCCTTCATTTGGCCCTAGGAGCTTTCTACTCATCTCCAGTTGAGGGCCTGTACACTCAGGCACGCCATCTCTCTCTAGACATCGTATCCATCTCTCTCTTCGAGGTTATGCTAGATTCTATCAACTTTCCCTCACCTAACTAACTACCCCACGATCCCTGCTTCCTACCTTTGCTTCTACTCCATGTTTACCTACTCCTTTCTCCATTTGCATGGATACCCTCCTCTCCTATCCCCCCTTTATCCATCTCCGACCTCTTCCATTTTCTGTCCATTCCGTTCCTCCATGGCATATACTTTACCCCTGTATTTGCTCCTCTGTTTTCCCTGGCCCACCAAAATCAGATATCCCCCTTCTGTCCTTCTCGCCCACTGATGGCTCCAAATCCACCTCCGTGCTGGTTTCGCATTAAACTTCCCAATTCGCACTTTCCAATGCCCCCTCCCTTCTGAATCCAGTTCCATTACAATAGAACTGCATGCACTCCTTTTTGCCTTAAAACACATATGCTCACTCCCTTCTTCCTTTTTCACTATTTTTACTGATTCCCATAACTCATTAACTCTAATAAAGTCTATGCACTCGACCATCCCCTTGTCTATAAGATTCAGGACTGGTTGTTCTACTTGTCCACACACCATAAATCTATCAGATTTTGCTGGGGTGCCCAGCTGTGTTGGAATCCCTGGCAATAAACGGGCAGATACTCGAGCACGCTACGCCGCCATGTCCAAATCACACCAACCACGTTTCTCACATATTCCAGCCACGGATTATTATGCCCCACTTTAAGACTGTATACCCGATGGCAAACTTTCCGGTCAAGTCTCCGGATTAATAAATTACATACTGTAAAACTATCAATCTCTTCCTGGTCGGTTCCATTTCATCGGAACAGACGTTGGGAGACGGCTCTCGCCCGCTTACGTATTTGATGTCACGTTCTGATCCGCCCATATGTTCCCTATGTAATGTTCCTCTTTTCACACATTCTGTTATTCTGTCCACGCTCTGATGCAGCCCGTACCTCTGTTTTCCCCCACCTACGTCACACTTTCTGCTTTGGCAACCTGTTCTCCTTCCTCAGACGCATACATAGCTTTCACTTGATCTAATCCCCATCACCTAACCCTACCTTAACCCATTCACTCATCAACTCCTTTACCTATCTTTAAACTTTTCAAGATCATGCTAGATAGTGGACGTATAGCAACTAACTACTAACACCCTTCACTACCCTCTACTGCATCTTCCTATAGTGCTACATGACCGTAGATATCAAGCACATTTATTTTGCTTTTAACCATTAACCATTAACCACAACTACAACAAATGCTGATTTCGGATCACGAGTCTTTTTTTAATATCCCCTGTGAAGGTTATTGTGGGCAAGTTTATGCTATCACTAGTAACGTACCTAAACCTCTATCTTATTGACAAAGTGAGCAGACTTTTTCCTATGTGTGTAAAGGAATTAAAGAAATTTTTCGATTTTATTGGGAGCGCGGACATCTAATTTACTGACAGGGTGGACAAACTTCTTCCCTCATTTGCCGAATGAATGCAGCCCCTCTTTCTCCTTCGGTATGCCCCTGCCATGCGTATGTGGACACATCACGCACATACACACATTATGTACACACACACACA